GGAAATGGAACTTGGAGTGATTACATTTCTTTCTTGAACCACTCTGTTCCAGTTTATGCATTGCTCTGCAACTTGCAAAGCCTAATACTTTGACTTTTTTGGGCATATATTGCAGTGGTGGACTTGCATACATATATACACATTTCACCATAAAAGCCTACATATAAGCCATATGATTTAATATTTTATTATTTTAAAAATTAGCACATAAAGTTATATTAATCTGAGTTTCTTACACATGCTAGTCAGAAAAAGGCCACATTACAGAATCTTACACTACTAATAGAATGTACAGTTTAAGTCTGAATTATTAGCCCCCCTTTAAATTTCTTTTCTTTTTTTAAATATTTCCCAAATTATATTTTACAGAGCAAAGAAAATTTCACAGGATGTCTGATAATAATCCGGAGAAAGTCTTATTTTTTTTTTTTTTTTTGGCTAGAATAAAAGCAGTTTTAATATTTTTAAAACACCATTTAGGGACAAAATTGTTAGCCCTTTTAAGCTACTTTTTTTGGTCCCACTTTATATTAAGTGTCCCTAACTACTATGTACTTACATAAAAAATAAATACAATGTACTTACTGTGTTTATAATGTATTTAAGAACACTTGTGGTGCTTTTGAGTTGGAATAGAGGTTGGGTTATGGACAGGTTTGGTGGCATGGGTAGGTTTAAGGGTAGGTTAAGGTGTAAGGGATGGACAACAGTGTATTTACAGATGTAATTACATACATGTATTTAATCAAGCATAAGTACACAGTAAATACATGTATTTACACAATAAGTACATTGTAACAAACTATTAATGCCTATGTAAGTACATATTAGTTAAGGTCACTTAATACAAAGTGGGAAAATCTACAGAACAAACCATCGTTATACAATAACTTGCCTAATTACCCTATAACTACCTAATTAACCTAATTAACCTAGTTAAGCCTTTAAATGTCACTTTAAGCTGTATAGAGGTGTCTTGAAAAATATCTAGTCAAATATTATTTACTGTCATCATGACAAAGATAAAATAAATCAGTTATTAGAAATGAGTAATCAAAACTATTATGTTTAGAAATGTGTTAAACAAATCTTCTCTCCATTAAAAAGAAATTGGGAAAAAAATAAAAAGGGGGGCTAATAATTCAGGGAGGCTAATAATTCTGACTTCAACTGTATATTATGTGAGTGTTTTTAAATAAGCAAATTCGACGTTTACATGTTATAATTACACACTATGAATGGTTTATTAAGCATTAGCAAATAGTTAACACTATCTTTTAAGCATTAACTGTATATTAGTAGATGTTAGTAAGCGGTTTATAACTGCAGATACAAATGCTCTGTTCTTGACTTATAAGCACCTATATAATGTGCTTAATGATTGTATTTTCATACGTTGTTAATTATCTTTTATTACTAACTTAAGTTGCATCATTTACAAACCAGTTAATTGAGAGTAGGTGGTTTTTAAAGATTATTCAGAATGTGTAAATAAATTATTAATATACTTAACAAAATTAACATTTGTTTACTTTATTATTTAGGCATATAGTAATGGTTACTTTGCTAAATGCTTTATTAACTCACCTTCATCCAGCTAATCTAGATTTGAGAGCTAATCTAAAGTGAGGACTATTTGTGCTTTATAAATCATTTCATAAATCATTATTTGTCATTTATAAATCCCTTATAAATGACAAATAAATGGCCAGTTAAATTGTAACTGAAATGTTGCATCTTAATATATTATAGACAAGATTACAAAGATGTATTTTTCAATTAATACTTAGTCTTTAATTGTCATTTATAAGGGATTTATAAAGCATAAATAGTCCTTACATTAGATTAGGCCACAAAAAAAGGTTAATAAAGAGTTATCAGGAAATCTTATTTAATTAAGATTTATTAAATAATAAATATATATTAACATACAACTTAGCTGTTAATATATGCCTGAATAATAAGATATAAATGTTGATTTGAATAGTTTATTAATCATTTACTAACTCATTCTGAATGATCTTAAAAAAAAAAACAACAACTAGTCTTAGGGTGCTTTCACACTTCTTTCATTTGCCTAAATTGTACCCAAGTTTGATTGTTATACTCCCCTTTCACACTGTCTTTTTTCCTTCTGAACCCCCGTACACTCGTATCATTAAGGTGCTGTTGTGTATACGGCTGATGCTAGGTGATGGCCACAAAAACAAAGCGCCAAAATGGAAAGATGTCCGCAAATCGTGGTCATTCTGTGTTCGCTGAATCTTTTGGTTTTGGACATACAGGAAGTGACTTGCGTCTGTCTGCTGCAAAAATATTACTAACGTTCAGAACAAACCGCGATGTCTGCAGGAACTGTTTTTGAAGGAGACAAGCAGACATTATCAATGTGTTTGCTCTGGCTCAGGCCCGCTTGTAACCAAGGTGCTTGATACACAAGCTATGTTTCCATCCAAAAATGCGAATAAACTTTATGCGCAAAACTGGATTATCGCAAAAAAGTTGTGCAAATGAAGCATCGTTTCCATTTAACGAGTCAAAGCGAACAAAATCGTCTCTTCCTGATTAACAGGCGCCAAATATCAACAGTAAAAACTGCATTTGCTGCAGTAGGAGAAGCTGCATCAATCTTTTCTAAATGAATGCGCCTCAGAAGACAATCCTGACAAGCAGTGTCAGACGTGGAGCACAGGCGCTCTGGATTCTGGAGGTCATTAATAATATAATAACATTAATACTGAAATGGTAAGGCGTCTTATAATGACCAAAACAACATTTCAGATGTTTTATAATGTGCTCAGCCTGACGTTTTCTCCATTCACACACATTTTAAGCATCACATGATCTCTTTTAACAAAATCAAATGACCTTTTTTAATGCGCATGCTGGAGTTTGTGCGGTAAAAGTGTTTCCATCGCAGTTTATGCGCATCTTATCGAATAAAAAGTTTATCCTACCCAGTTGGGCGCAAAAGTTTTTTATTCGCATTTTCAAAATTTATGTGCATCATGGAGTTTCAATCAACTGTTTTTTTATGCGCATTTTGCAAAATAGGTGAATGGAAACATAGCTAAAGACACACATGAATGAACATTATGAACACAATGCTTGTTATACTGTTGGCGGTTTACTTATGTTATTTGGTACGATTGCATTCATACCAGAGTTTGCACAAACCATACCCCAGACCACCTCTTTCAGGCAGACTCGGGTAAGATTTGTGGGTGCGCAACCAAGTTCAAAAGATATCTTCACACTAGCTAAACGCACCGTACTTTGATGTCAAATGAACCCGGGTGCGGACTCAAAGTGCTAGTGTGAAAGCACCCTTAAATACAAATGATTTGTAAGTTATTCGATACTTAATTTAATCATGAAAAATTAATCAGTCTAAAATTACGAAAGCTCGATAATTAAGCACATTTCAAATGTGCTTGTAGGTCAAGAATAGAGCATTTGTATCTGCAGTTATAAACTGTTTAATAACGTCTATTAATGTAGAGCTCACATGTATCAAATAATACATTAACTATACACAGTAAAAAATAAATCCGTAAAATTTACGGTAAAAAAAAAACGGCAGCTGTGGTTGCCAGTACTTTACCGTTAAAAACACGGTACAAATCGTAAAAGTAATTTTTTTGATTTTTATGGTTAATTACCGTATTTTATTAATTTATAGAGGTAATACGTCTGTATTTTGAATGATCAACATCTACACATCTTTTGTTACACAGTTAGACACATTAGCACACCCACATGCAGGTGGTGATGAGGAAGTTACATAATGAGCCAATGCTCAACACAATCAACTTTTCCCACAAGCAGAAAAGAGTATCAGCATATAGAAGGTGCTCAGTGTCATTCACACAGCTACTAAACACCAGTATGGTAACACGAATAAAATTAAAGTCATGAAATAAACATTGTTTATCAACATTAGATGTAACATAAATCTCTAATGTACATAAATGATGGGGAAACAACTAAAAAGATTCATATTAATATAAACCAAATGCATAAAAAGTGATGTGCCATGCAGGGAATTCTGGGAAAGTCAATTTACGGTTATTCGCCGTATATATTAAGGAAACATACCGTTAACCAGATTACGGATTTGTACTGTAGCATTTTTACAGTTTTTTACCGTTGAAATCACAGACATTTTTTTACAGTGTATGATTATGCTTAATAAATAATTCATAGTGTGAAGTTATAAAGTGTTAACCAAATTTGCTATAGAATATAGTTTCAAAGTTATTCATGTTATTGAAATCAAGTTTTTCATCATCATTACTCCAGTCTTCACGGTCACATGATCCTTCAGAAATCAATATAATATAATAGTTATTTTATTATGGTATTAATGGTACAAAAATCATCATGATTTGTATTTCTTTTGTGCTGCTTTTGGAATATTTGATCTTTTTTTTTCTTCCAAAATAACTTTAAAAATAGCTTTTTTGCAGTCTTTTTTACATTATGAATTCATAAAAAATAATCAAATAAAAGCTTATATTTTTTAGCATTGTTAAATAAAACATAGGCAGCACAGAGGCGCATTGGGTAGCACGATTGCCTCACAGTAAGAAGGTCGCTTAATCAACCCTCGGCTGGGTCAGTTGGCATTTCGGTGGGGAGTTTGCATGTTCTCCCCATGTTTGCATGGGTTTCCTCCAGGTGCTCCGGTTTCCCCCACAGTCCAAAGACATGCGCTGTAGTTGAATTGGGTAAACTAAATTGTCCGTAGGGTATGTGTGTGAATATGAGTGTATGGGTGTTTCCCAGTGATGGGTTGCCGCTGGAAGGGCATCCACTGCTTAATAAAATATGCTGGATAAGTTGACGATTTATTTCACTGTGGTGACCCAAGATTAACAAAGGGACTAAGCCGAAAATAAAATAAATGAATGATTACCACAATAAACACATTGCAATATTTAACATTAACATCATTAACATAATTATCATAACTTTAATTAATTGATTGTTTGACTCACCACTATATTGCCCACTGCAGAGTAGGCCGCAAAGGCAAAAGCCTCACTTGTGGTTGTGAACTGCTTCTCACATCTCGCTCCGCTGGGCAGATAGCACTGGTTTCCGCTCTTATCAACAATGGTACTGAGAACGGGTCCAGGATGGCTCAGAAGGGCCATGTGTTTGGTAACTTGGACATCCTTCAAGCCAATCTCCTTCCACCGCTGTGCAATATATTTGACCTTGGACTCTTCGGTAAGATCTGACAAGCTGTCAAAGTCCCTGTGTTCAATCAGACACAACAGAAAGCAGATATTAATAAATGCCAAGTATTTTGTGAAGGCAACCCAACAACAACACGACACTTAACAGCATGTTGATGAATATGCGCGAGACTCATTATCATTAGCGTAATTAGCACATTGTTGACTTTAGGTTAACATTTGTTTTCCTCAAAGGTATTTACATGGTCTGTTGACGTGAAGCCGTGGCTCGAAGCACGGGACAGAAATGGAGAGACAGCCTCCATAATTCATATTCCGGACAAGCCTCAGTTAATGTAACTGATGAATATGGCAGTGCAGAGAATCAATTGTCTCCTGAACAAACGGATGCACTATTAAAAAAGGATTGCCGGGAGAGAAAGTAAATTAGCAACAGACGGTTAAACATGAGAGGGAGAAATGAAGCGCTGCTAAGGTGCTCTGGCAGCTCGGCTTCGCTTATTTCTTACCCGTCACGGCACGTGGAAGGCACAAAAAGAAACACATTGTTATCTTGTAACTCGAAAACTTTGAGGGCTTGAGAGCCCATCAGCATGCCAAAGCTCGCTCTGCAATTTTATAGAAGAAACACAGCAGGCCTGCCCATTCTCTCAATCTTCAAAACAAAATTAATTGAAGTGTAAAAGCAAGCCAAGAGCCTCCAGAGACTATAAATCATTTAACTGCATTTCTTTCTCCTTTATACACTGTGATAAATTTGCAGACGTTGATCATTGCCACATGACGTTAACAATATCCGCTACCCAACTGCACAGACTGTTCCTCTACTGTGCTAACAATCACATGTCTCATTATAACAGTTTTTTTTTTAGTTGTAAAAAGAAGGTTAAATCTTTTAAAACTGATTTTCGCAACACAAAAAGAAGAGCAAGAACATCCTGTTGTATCTGTACTAAAAAGTTCAAACTAAAAATACAGTGTCTGGTCTGCTTTACCCTGCAAGATGTTTAATGCACACAACAATATTCAGCATCATCACATATCATCGGTTTTGTATTGGTGGTGTTTTTGGAAAGTACAATATGAGGGGGGGATGGGGGGGGGGGTGTTTATAGGGGGGGTTTATAGGGGGGGTGTTTATGTTTATAAAGCAGTGGTCACCAAACTTGTTGTTCCTGGAGGGCCGGTGCCCTGCAAATTTTAGGTCCAACCCTAATCAAACCTGAACAAGCTAATCAAGGTCTTGCTAGGTATACTTGAAACATCCAGGCAGGTGTGTTGAGGCAAGTTGGAGCTAAACCCAGCAGGGACACCAGCCCTCCAGGACCAATATTGGTGACCCCTGCTATAAAGTGAGCAACAATATGCATATTTTCTCAGCTAAATTTGTGCCGAAACCAGAATTTGATTATGGAAGAAAGGGAGGGAAAAATCAATGTGTAGGTAAACTACAGTAGAGTAAAACTAATAATAAAGTACAATATAAATGCAAGCAGGGTGAGAGAAGGCAATGTATTAAAATTAATCTGAAAGAAAGAAAGAAAGAAAGAAAGAAAGAAAGAAAGACAGACAGAAAGAAAGAAAGAAAGAAAGAAAGAAAGAAAGAATAAAGTAAGAAAAAAGGAAAAAAGAAAGAAAGAAAGAAAGAAAGAAAGAAAGAAAAAAAGAAAGAAAAAAAGAAAGAAAAAAAGAAAGAAATTTTGATTTTCACACTATTACAAAAACATTAATACATTATTTAAACAATCAACTCACAAAAAAGAAAAAGTGAGAAAAAGAAAAAAATATTAACCCAAAATGGGAGCAGAAACCAACTCATTTTCAAAAAGCTTACACAGAGCACCGGCATAACAACACATTAAGTCAAAAGAAGGAAGATCAACCATAGCTTAAAAAAAACCTAAAATCAACAGGAATTCTTGATTTGACAGAAATAACAAAAACTGCCAACAAGTTGTGACTCACATTTCTTTATTTTTTTTTTTTTTGCTTTCTGGTACTATACACCGCCATTTCAGCTTGTCCTAATAAAAAATTGAGAAGCTGACATCTAAAGCGTTTCATCTGAACATATTTAAACCCACAAATAAAAGTGTTAGTGGAAAAGGTTTCTCCAAAAGATACAAACAAATTCTGTAAAACAGTAAACAAAGGCTCAAATCTGGAACATTGCGTTAACGTGTGAAAAACAGTTTCTCTCTGCAAGCAGAAAAACAGTCGTGACCATCGTCAGGATTTCAAATTGAAATAAAAGCATTAACTGCAACGGCACCATGTAAAATTCTCCACTGCAAATCTCCATGTCTTTTAGTTAATGGTGACTTGTACAGTGATCGCCATGGGGGGTGCTCATCCTCATTCAACTTTAAAACATCACGCCATGGAGTGTTCACTCTATTGTTCAGAACCATTTTGTTAAAAACTTTAACACGTTTTATATAAAACCTTCCCAGAAGCTGACTCTTGCCGAATTATTGTCACATCTTTACAATGTAAAAACAGCCCTTTACAGTTTGGGAGACAAGTTGGGAGATAATGACAAAAACGGGAAAATATCATTACAATTTGGAATAGTTAACCCTTCATAATACTCCCCCAACAACCTGATCTTTTCAGTTGTGAGGGAAGCCCTCCATTGTTCAAGGAGTTTGGTAACTTTTAATTATGGAAGAAAGGGAGGGAAAAATCAATGTGTAGGTAAACTACAGTAAAGTAAAACTAATAATATAACACATTATAAATACAAGTAGGGTGAGAGAAAGCAATGAATTAAAATTAATCAGAAAGAAAGAAAGAAAGAAAGAAAGAAAGAAAGAAAGAAAGAAAGAAAGAAAGAAAGAAAGAAAGAAAGGAGAATCAGACAAAATCACTAATGTTGAATGAGAGAAAACATCAGCAAACATACACTCAAAGGACTTTAATAAGTACACCTGTCCAACTGTTTATTAACGCGAATTTCTAATTAGCCATATAAATGGCAGCAACTCAATGCATTTAGGCATGTAGGCACGGCCAAGGTGTGACTTTAAACGTGGCATGGTTGTTGGTGCCAGAGCTGGTCTGAGTGATTTACTGAGAATTTCACGCACAACCTTCTCTAGTGTTTACAGAGAATGGTCCGAAAAAGAGAAAATATCCAGTGAGCGGCAGTTCTGTGGGCACAACTACCTTGTTGATGCCAGATGTCAAAGAAGAATGGCCAGACTGGTCTCGAGCAGATAGAAAAGCAACAGTGACTCAAATAAACACTCATTTCAACTGAGGTATGCAGAAGAGCATCTCTGAATGTTGAACCTTGAAGCAGATGGGCTACAGCAGCAGAAGACAACACTGGGTGTCACTGCTGTCAGCTAACAACAGGAAACTGAGGCAACAATTCGCACTGGCTCACCAAACTCGCACAGTAGAAGATTGGCAAAACCTTGCCTCATCTGATGAGACTCAATTGCTGCTGCAACATTTGGGTGGTAGGGTCAGAATTTGGCATCAACAACATGAAAGCATGGATTCATTCTGCCTTTTAACAAACAGTTCAGTCTGGTAGTGGTGGTGTAATTGTGTGGGGGATATTTTCTTGGCACACATTGGGTCCATTAGTACCAACTAAGCATCGTGTCATTGCCCCAGCCTACCTGAGTATTGTTGCCGACCACGTCCATCCCTTTATGACCACAATGTACCCATCTTCTGATGGCTACTTTCAGCAGGATAATGCACCAGGTCAAAGCATGAATCATCTCAGACTGGTTTCTTGAACATGACAATGAGTTCACTGTACTCAAATGGTCTCACAGTCACCAGATCTCAATCCAATAGAGCTCATTTGGGATGTGGTGGAATGGGATATACAGCCGACAAATCTGCAACAACTGCGTAATGCTATCATATCAATATGGAACAAAGTCTCTGAGGAATATTTCCAGTACTTTGTTTAATCTATGCCACGAAGGATTAAGGCAGTTCTGAAGGCTAAAGGTGGTCCAACCCAGTACTAGTAAGGTTTACTTGATGAAGTGGTCGATGAGTGTAAAGATTCAAGCCTAGTCAAACCAAGAACTAATTCTATTAAATGTTTAAAATAGCCTTTAGGAAGTATCAGGCTAAAAAAAACAATATATTGGAATCAACAGTACTACTTTTACGATGTTTCTTCATATGCACAGCGTAAACAGAAAGACTGAAAAATTCCTTTGTGCAGTTATTCCTGTACACACGTGTCATTTTTATTTAAGCAAGGGTTTTACTTTCATTTATTTATTTTAATTTTTTTATTTCGTCCTAACTTCTTGAGCACAAGACTCATCCTGTGATTCAGGAGAGCGGACAAGCAGTCCAGCCCCACACTGAGCCACTGTGACCTGACAGAGTGTGTCCAATCCCTCACGGCTGTGCATGGGTGCCTGGGTAATCTAATTAAAAGCGTGCTCTGCATGAGTGGAGAGGATGATTCCTAACCTCTCTCAGGTAATGCTTCTTCACTGCAGCTGGCAAAAGACTTAAATAGTAACCCAAGACATTACTTATGGAGGAACCGTTGCCTCAAATGATTGTGTGTCCAATTTTAGAGAATTGCTAAAGAAATGTCACTTTTTGGTGAAATGGAAAACGATGCGTTTGGTGAAATGTGTGTGCTTAAAAAGTTACTTTTCAATGCAATGCATGTAAATACATCTGAATAAAATGAAATCAATATGAAACATCTCACTGATATTGATGCATTTTTTTTACAATACATATTATTTTAAAATCATTATTAAAGAAATATGTAACTTAATGGGTGACACGGGGGCTCAGTAGTTAGCACTGTTGCCTCACAGCAAGAAAGTCATTAGTTTGAGTCTCGGCTGGGTCAGTTGACATTTCTGTGTGGAGTTTGCATGTTCTCCCCGTGTCCGCATGGGTTTTCTTCCGTGTGCTCCAGTTTCCCCCAAAGTCCAAAGACATGTGCTTTATGTGAATTGAGCAAACTAAATTAAATTAGCCGTAGTGTGTGTTCGTGAATGTGAGAGTGTATGTGTGCTTCCCAGTACTGGGTTGCAGTTGGAAAGGCATCCGCTA